TCGCGTGGCAGCTATAAGAGATAGTAATCCGATCTAAACAATTTGTTCGGAGATTATCACTTTGCCTTAGGCAATAATTAATGCCAATGCCAAACAAGATATCTCATCAAATGGCAAAGCACTTGATTTCAATATATTTTGATTGATGGTATAAAACAGGTGTTCCAAGTAATGTTCCTTTTTTTAAATAGCCCTTTTGGACAGATCTTGCTAGAGTCGTGTCAAGCTGTCGTGTTATTTTTGTTCAATATTGTTTGGCATTTCATCATGGAAAGACTTACGCTTGAACAACGTTTACAGATCCTTCAAATTTATTACGAAAATTCACGTTCTGTAAACAATGAGTATCGTTCTTTCACATAACTTATGGTCAACATAATTGGCTTACTGATCGGACTATTCACAACACCATCATCCATCTAGAGACCCAGCCTTCATTATTCGATAATATCCAGCACACAGTAAATATAGCAAAACGAAACCCGCTCGACTTTACAAAGTTACATGAAGATCAAAAGGTTTTCAGACAAATTTTGTTCAGCGATGAGGCTAATTTCAATAGCTCAATGAAGAACAACCTGAAGAGATTCAAGAGCTGCCATTTTATCCAGAAAAACGTGAAGTTGTGATCTCGGTACCATTAGCTCCCAACAAGACGGGCCACTTCGCATCAATCAATTGCCTTTCTATTCCGTGCTCCGACAATTCCTCTTCGATTTAGGTCCTGTAACAAAGCATCACGCGTGTCATTCGCCATTTATCAGTCGAAATGCTGAAACGAGTTTTCGAATGTTGGACTCAACTGATGGACCATCTGAGACGTAGCAGCGCCAATTTGAAGTTTCTGTGTTTTTGCTAAAAAAAAAAAAAATTTTGAACCTCGAAATCTTCCGAGATCAATTTTGTTGAAATTATCAATCGTCAGTTTATTAGATCTCGAAAAGGTCTGAAGCTAGCTAAATGATTCCCGAAGCTGGCATACAGATATCAATAAATCTGTAATAGCTGTACTCAACTTTAACATAGTTCGAAGATCTCAATATCGTCAATATTTTATTTAATTCCCTTTTACTGCTCCGTATATAATACGAAGCGAGATAAAGCGAACATCCAATTTCCTTCGCTCTCGAATATTCGCAATTCCAACCTACACGTAGACATCCGAGTCAGGTCTGCAGCCATATTACTTACATTTCTACATGCCACTCAAAACGCCCGCGAGTATAAATGACAATTTAGCAATAAAAATTTGCATTTGCGGTGGGTGATTCACCGAAACCACAGCGTACAAAGCACCGAACGCCTTCACACTTTCCTTGTGCTCATCTGAGTGATTCGAAATTCAGAGCCGCAACGTTGCTTGGAACAGGAAATATCAGCATACATACGACATAGATGTGTGTGAATTCTCGTAAATATATAGAAGACCCTCCTCGGCGGTGGTTGCGAGCCAAAAGCGTGAATCCAAAGCAGTGAAATAGATATTTGTACTATATATTCACTGGTGGATTAGTTGCAGACTTCGAATTTATGGAAATGTAAGCGTACGTACATATAAATGAATATACTCGCATCTCTGCATATTTGCAACAGACACATAAATTTCGGCGCGCTTTCCTGCGCATGCGCAGATTGACTGCTGACACTCTGGTCTTTTTGCCGCCTTCGAGGACGTTTGACGGACGTTTCTTAGTCCATTCTGCGCGCACTGCACCGACGCCCATGCATGTCAACCACATCACCGAGGCAATTGTTTTGTTTATGCCTCTTTCATTGCGCGCGCAAAGCAACTTTGCGGCTTTATTTCGGTTGGCATGGCAGAAATGAAAATTGGTGGCAGACACCAGACAGCAGACAAAGACCGTAGGCTGTTAGCTGGCCACGAAGCCAACATGCCAACATGCCAGCGCCGGCAGGAAGGTAGGCAGACAGCCAACAGCCAACAGCCAACCTGCGCCCATGCACAGATAAAAACGCAATTGAGAGTAAACTTTTATTACACGCACGCACATTCACAAATACATACATTTACTCGTATTTGTATGCCCCAATGTGTATAAATATTAGGTGTATTCTGCATTGTTTCGCAGATCGCTTTGATTGCGTTTTCGTTTGCGCTTGCGCTTATTGTGGTTCCAATAGTTGTGAGTTCCGCGGGCCATGTTGAGAACGCCCACGGTTGACATTTATGGTTACTTGTCTTATAATGCGCCGCTCGTTTGTTTTATTTGGCGCTATGCTCTGAGCCAAGGTTCAAGCGTTGGTGATTGCACGAAGTTGCTTTACCCGCGAGCAAAATAGGAAATTAATTCTTATGAACAAAGCTTAAAAAAATGCTCGGAAATGTAGATCGTTACAGTTGAGGTCTCTCTTCCACATATAACCTAATGCTTTGGTTGAAGCATGCATGGAAATTTGAGAGATGAAGGGAGGAAATGTGTAAAGTGGTGGATGCAAGGACATCTACTGGTTTTCTTTGATAACTTTAAAGCCAGTATATAAATAACGTAAAACTCAGATTTTTTCAAGAATTTTTATCTCATATAAAAAATTAAATATATTATTAGAAAGTTTTATTGTTACAACGTACTATATTAACAAAAAAAATTCCGAAATTTTTGGAAAAAATATGTTAAATGCCATTTTCGGCGATCCCTCATATAGAAGGTGCCGCCCTGTTAGCAAGATAAATGAAACACGCCTTACAGAATCTTAAAGTGAAGAAATACGAGTTTTAGTTAAAACCTTCACTCACAACTTTGACGAAGGAAAAATGGAAATTTAATTTTTGGCATAAATTTTTACACAACAAAATTAAAGTTTCAGTGAAAATTTTGCGCCATTTTTGTTTCTCAAATAAAAGTAATCGAAAAAAATCCTACATCCTTTCTTTACAAATTGTATCTCAAAGGCTTGTGTACAATTTCATGTAGATCGATTGAATACTTTTCTAGAAACCGCCAGCTGACTTCAAAAACACAGTTTCTAGCGCATAAATTCCCAAGGCTATATCTCCGAAACTATTATTCGGATCAACTTGGAAATTTAGGACAATATTTTAAAGGTCTCGTAAAATTTAATAAAGCAATACAAAATCGATTTTGGAAACCCTTAAACTCATGTAACACCTTAACTTCCTTCTTTTTGGATTTTGCACGTTTTTCACATTTTTTTGGAAAAATTGCTAAATGTTACATATATGTATATAGTAAATATGTTAAATCATACTCAAATATATATAAACATATTAGATAATACAAATAAAATGGCACTTTTAACACCTTTTGATTTCTCACAGATTCCTTTGCTGTTCGCTTGTCGGTGGCTTTGGCTTCATTATGGCCAATTATCGCCGCTGGTTACTAAACTAATAGCAATAACAACAACAGTAGAGTAGTATATCTGTTAATGAATGATATTCCGAAAAGTAAAATCACTGAAATAATGCCCGACACATTATTTCCACTTCTCTGAACTTCCACAACTTGCTAATTGTGAATTGTTTTGATATGCTACCATTTACCTTAGTAACTATATACGAAAACATTCTTTATATATATATGTATGTGTATATATGTATATGTATATATATTTCTACTTATGTGGAAGAAGAAAAATATTTAATGTTTCTGATTTACTTTGAGGCTTTTTGGCGGCAGAAGTTCAAACAGTGAAATTTGAAGTTTGCTCCGCAACACTTTCGGCCTTCAGAAGAACTTTGTTATGTTGGAACTTCAAGGGATATACGTATATTATAGTATATTCCTTGTAGTAGAACTGAGTTAGAGCTGTAATATTATTTAAAATTACTCATTTTTAAATTTATTTACAGTTCTATTATATAATTATAGCATTAAAAGTTAACAAATTTTCAATCTGAATTTTGTTCGGCTAGTTACCGGAACGGACTCATATTTTTATCCGGCCAAGGACTGTTAAGTCGGCATCATGCCTGAAAATTACCATAGGAATGCTTTCTTCCGCTGCAACAACCAATTCAGAGTAAAAACAAGTAAGGAAGGGCTAAGTTCGGGTGTCACCGAACATTTTATACTCTCGCATGATAAAGTGATAATCGAGATTTCAGGCGTGGTTGTGAACCGATTTCACCCATATTTGGTACATGTCATCAGGGTGTTAAGAAAATATTATATACCGAATTTCATTGAAATCGGTTGAGTACTTCCTGAGATATGGYTTTTGGTCCATAAGTGGGCGACGCTACGCCCATTTTCAATTTTTAAAAAAATCCTAGATGCAGCTTCCTTCTGACATTTCTTCTGTAAAATTTAGTGTTTCTGACGTTTTTTGTTAGTCGGTTAACGCACTTTTAGTGATTTTCAACATAAGGAGGTGGGCGTGGTTATTGTCCGACTTCTTCCATTTTTGAACTGTATATGGAAATGCCTAAAAGAAATGACTCTATACAGTTTGGTTGACATAGCTATAGTAGTTTTCGAGATATGTACAAAAAAGTTAGTAGGGGGCGGGGCCACGCCCACTTTTCCAAAAAACTTACGTCCAAATATGACCTTCCCTAATGCGATCCTTTGTGCCAAATTCATCATTTTAATATCTTTATTTATGGCTTAGTTATGACACTTTATAGGTTTTCGGTCTCCGCCATTTTGTGGGTTGGCAGTAGGCCGATTTTGCCCATCTTCGAATTTAACCTTCTTATGGAGCAGGAAATACGTATACCAAGTTTCATCATGATATCTCAAATTTTACTCAAGTTACAGCTTGTACGGACGGACGGACAGGCGGACGGACGGACAGACAGACATCCGGATTTTAACTCTACTCGTCACCCTGATCACTTTGGTATATATAACCCTATATCTAACTCTTTTAGTTTTAGGACTTACAAATAACCGTTATGTGAACAAAACTATAATATTCTCTTTGGCAACTTTGTTGCAAGAGTATAAAAATATATATTTTTTAAAGTTTGGAACGAAATTCGAAAGATCAACATATAATTTTTAACACTATTAGAATTGCTAGAACATCAAAAGAGAATTCAAAATAAATTTATTGCTGAAACTACATCTATGTATTTGATTTCTAAATTTGTTTCATCCCTTCTTGTAATGTTATTTAGTAAGTAGCGTTGCCAATGGTATGCGAAGTCACGCAAAATGTGACGCATATATGTACATGTGTGTGTGTGTAGCATATTGCTGTTTCGTAGTTACAAAATGCCACTACACTCCACCACGTTTCACTATCGTTTACACCTAGTTAATATTAAAATTTCATATAATAATTAGATTTCTGATCAATGATCGGGTCGGTCTCACTGTCTGTATGTTGCACGCCAGGCCGAGATTCGGCAGGTTCTGGGTGTTGCGGCACGAGGCACACCAGCCGGACCAATATTTGAAGCCATTACGTTCGAATATTCGCTTCGCACACTCCACATCGTCGTCTATGTTGTCATCAAGGAAGTCTGTGTTTGAGTTCAAACTCAAAATTAGTCAAGTTCACGGCGAGTATTGAAAGTTATTACACTTATGTATGCGTGCAGCCGCCTTACCTTCACATTTCTTATCGCAAAGGCCACCTTTGCGATTGACGCGACACCATTCTTTGCTGCTTATCTGGAAGAGTCCGTAACTGGCGCTGCCGTTAGGATTTCGTTTCACCACTTTGGTGCTCCTATTGCTCTCGTGCTCGATCAAGCAAATCCCTGTTGCAGCGGTAAATATTCCAATGAAATATAATTATATTTGTTGTTTCTCAATAATGGTACTTACAGTTAGAGAGAAACGTTTTGTTGATACCGTATTTTAGCAAAAGCTCTTTCGCCAACTGGCAACGCATGTATTCTTTGGCATCCACATGAGTGCTCAGTAGAAGACAGCTCAGAAGCAGTGGAGCTAACAGGAAAGTAAGGCGAGCCATTTTTAAGTCTCTATAAGGAATATTGAATGACAAAAGGCACAATAATATTGTTAGAGATAACTGTAGATGATTGGTGCTGGCATTTAATATGATATAGGTTAGGGATCTCAAGTCTTTTTCGATTTTGATTACAGCTTTTGTCAAACCGCCGATCGTATGACAGACATTGGAAAAACGTGTCATAAAAATAAGTATAACTGGTAACAAAAAATGCCCATTGCGCTCTCACTAACCGTAGCAAAACTATGTTTCACTATATATAAAATTACATAGCTAGAAAAATTATTTTAGATTGTTGAACTTAAGAGCTTTGATACAAACGAATATATCTTTCGAACTCATCACAAAAAAAAAAAAAACAAAAAAAAAAATAAAAAATTAACCGGTGAATTCTCAGAATGATTTTAGTATAATAATTATCCTGCCGCGAGTAAACAATTTTAGAAAATCAGCACAATATTTTAGATAAGTACTTTTTAGTAGATAAGCTAATTCTAAAGTCAACAACTCAAATGTAGAATATAGGCTCATATGAAACTCGCACACTTATTTTAGCATATTGTTTTTGTTTGGTACGTAATTAGCACATCTCAAAGCCAGGAAGATGTTCTTTCGCCGGGGTGTGCATAAAATTTGACTTATTGAGCCACTAAATGCGACCTCAGCACTAAAGGACAAAGGAGAGTTAAGGGGATATTACAAAAATTTACTAAAATCGATTATTTTTTATATTTTCTAAGTTGGGTTACATTGCTTTACAAAAAATTGATTTTCTTATTGTTTTGCTAAACACCTCTAAAATATTGTCCTAAATTTTCCAGCGGTTTCAAATAATAGTTTTGAAGATACAGCTTTGAGAACTTGTGGGCTCGAGGCTGGGCTAAGTGCACCGTCTTTGAACGAATTCTTCTCGAAACTTTGTTTTTGAAGTCTGTTGGCAAGATTTCTCGGGAACTACTTAACCGATCATCATCAAATTTTAGACAGGTCTTTAAGACATAATTCTTAAAGACTTGGACGAAAGATTTTTGTCGATAGCTACTATTTGAAAAAAGATGTTGCGAAATTTCCACTGAAATTTTAATTTTTTTGTAGAAATGTGTGCCAAAATTTAAATTTTCAGTATTTTTTCTTTGTCAGAGTTAAGGTTTTAGGTAAAACATGTATTTTTTCACCTTAAGTGAGAGTTATCCTCCCAACGCGGACGCATCTTTTTTCCGAGGGTCATCGGAAACGGCATCGAAATGGCCTAATTTAAATTATTTTTTTTTCAAAATTTCAGAATTTCTTTATTACTAGTGTATGTTTGTAACAATAAAAAATTCTAATAATATATTTAATTTTTTAAATGATAAAAGAATTGTTGAAAAAATGATTTTCTTTTACGCGAGGAAACCCATGTAACAGCATAACTAGGTATGAATATGTCTAAAAGAGGCTTTTTAAAATTCAAATTATTTTTGAAGATATAGATATTTTGCTGGCCCGGCAGCCATTTCGACCAGTTCGCGAAACTGGAGACGCGTTTTTCTCGACTGAACCGATTGTCTTGATATTGTTAGAAACTATCCATATCCCCAAATTTTAATACTCACTACTTTTAAAAATACGAATAAGTAAAAAAAAAATGCTACAAAAATGTATTTATTTTCTAGCAATCGCCACTCCATGAATTTAGTTTTCCAACTTTCCCGTATTTCCAGACATTATTCCAGAATAAGTTTTTTTTTTTTAATTTCAAATGGCTCGGTAGAAATCGTGAGAATGGGCAGTTTTTTAAGACCTCCACTTTATCTGCTGTAATTTTTTAAAATTATATATTTAATAATTTTTTTCTGCACTTCTTGTTAAATTCTCTAGACTAGAATAGTATTGAGATAGATATAATAGAGTTAAAAGTATATTGATTGACAAATACTGCGAATCCGATTGCAACGGATTTAAGACTTGCAGCTGCGGTTTCCTCAGCTTCATTCCAAATTCGCTGAGCAATTTTAGTCAAACCGTTAGTCATGCCTTTTACATATAACAACAACCACAAATCTGTGATATTTAAAGAAAATATCGTAGAATTGTTAGCATGGAATAAATTTTATGGGAAAATAAATTAGTTCACTCGACTCAGAAACTGAATTTAACGCTAAAAACCCACCCACTTTATGACTAACAGTTGCACACTATCGAGACTTCACGTAAGCCGAACAACACCTTTGCGCTGTGAAGCCCCCACATTGTCAGCTGTTTACCTTAATGTAGGCAAATCACGAAATCTATGGAAAACTAACAAGTTTTATAGGCTACCCCGAATTGATCGGAACAGAATTAATATACATACTATATATATGTACATGGTTGTATGTAATTGAAAATCAGCAAAGACACAAGTAACAAACACGAAATAATTCAAGGTCAACCACAAACAACAACACCAATGTAAGCCAAAACAAACGAAGCGCACATAAATCCGAAGAACGAGCAGGCAAATCAGTTTGACGAGCGAAACGCAATTATGTGCAATCTTTAATTAGTGCTAATCTTTAATTTCTCTTCGCCGGCTTGTTCTTAATGAGCGTGTGCATGTGTGTGTAATTTGGTGATTGTTTATATGGATGCAAGTGAGTGAGTGTGCGTTTGTGTGCTATACGTAATATCTGTCTCTTATACACATCTAGATGTGTATAAGAGACAGTCGCCGGCTTGTTCTTAATGAGCGTGTGCATGTGTGTGTAATTTGGTGATTGTTTATATGGATGCAAGTGAGTGAGTGTGCGTTTGTGTGCTATACGTAATATTTACTATTTATAATATTACGAGCTGCGGACAGGTGAAAGTGCTTACTTAATAAAGCCGCTCGATAATCTCACGCGCGCCCCGACACACACGTACACACACAACAGGTGAGCGCTGCCTGAACACAGAGTGCTTATTCTAAATATAAAGCACGACTTCGTCTTAACACTTAAACGCGTGGCAACTACAATAACACAATTTTCGGCGAAACTCCTTCAAAATATTTACAAAATAATATTTGTATATGTATGTTAGTACAATTGTTGTTGCACTTGCGATTCGCGACTTTTGATTAGATGCGACTATTAGATTAGTTATTAGTTTGAATTCGCAGATGATTTATTAATTAGTTGGCGTTTGTTATTGTTGTTTATATGTTTTCGGGTTCACTTTTAATTAGTTTTGCTTTGTGCGCGCGCAACAATGCCAACAACAAAAGTGCCTCTGAAGATAGCGACAAGCGACGAACCGATCGTGCGGCTAACTAAAGCGATGTGCGCTTAATGATCCCAAAGCGGTAACTAAACCGTGAATGGAACATGTTTTGGTCTTTTGTTTTTGTTGTGTTCTTTATTTTGAACACACTGTTCTGTTTACAATGTGAGCGACAGGCGCCAGAAGGTGTATTGGTAACTGTGTGTATTTGTGTGTGTGTGTGTGTTCGTTTATTAATTCCTGCTGGCATGGGACACTGCCGAAGCACGCTATAGCTGAAACTGAAAGTTATAAAAGGGTGCTGAGAAGCCTTTTTATAACTTTAACAGGATATATTGAGTTTGCCACGATGCTTGTAACACCGAAAAGGAAATGTCAGAGATCCTATAAAATGTACTATATATTGATTAACCACATTAATAAAAACTTGATTGACGAGTATATAGTATATAAACGATCAGCGTGACTGGCTAAGTCAGTTTAATCATGTCCGCCCGTCCATCGGTCCGTCCTTCTGTATATATACTAATAGGTTCTTCAGTTCTCGAGATACCGTTCTGAAATTTTGCACTCATCATTTCGTCTCTGTGAAGCTGCTCAATTGTCGGAATAACAAATATCGGGCCGTTACAGCATATAGCTGCTATACAAACTGAACGATCGGAATCTAGTGGTCGTATTGAAAATCATCTTATTTGACGGGAAATCATCACGAAAATTGCGTAGATTATTGCTTAAAGCAACCGGTGCCATCGCCGAAAAAATTTGTCGAATCGAGTAAAGAAAGCATACAGTTGACCGTTCAAAGTTCTTGTAAGGGATCTTTTGTATTTGTAAATACCTTTTGGTCTTCCGGTCCTTTCATACGATTTTCGGTAATGACTCGACTCTGCCACCTATTCGAGGATATGAAACTGCCAGCAAAAACTAAAAAGATGCCTCAGAAACTTGAGAAAACTTATATTATTAGCTACTGAGACATATACACTACCACAAACACTGTTTTTATTATATTATTATACCGGTTGTAGCGTAACGCAAGAAACCCACTGCCATGATTCGAGTATAATTAGCATATTATTTCTCATTAGACTGTGGCTAAGCACAACTTTTAAAACATTTTGTATTCAAAAAGCTCTCTCAAACACCCGATGAGCCGTGCACACACTTCAAGTTTATACAAACAAACTTGTTTATATGTATGTTAATTGCAGCTATTTCGAGCGTGGGTGACAGCCGTTTCGAAGTAAAGTTGGTTCCAGAAATGGGTTTTCAAAACATAAGTGAGTCGAAAACGCCGAAATTCATACAAATGATAAGTGTGTGGGTATGTATGCAAGTCAAGCGCTTAAAATTTCAAGAAAATCTTGTGTGTGTGTTTACATATTGACTTTTAAGTTTCAGCGTTGCAAGTTTCAAAAGATTGCTCAAATACTTCGTCGTGATAAAGTCTTTTTATCGTTTCAATGTTCATCTTATCAACCACAATGATAAGAGGCTGCCATATTTGCAAAACAAAAACAATAAATGCCCTAAAGCGGAAATTGTAAGTTGAGGACTCGACTGCATACCAATGAGCGTGGAGCGAAGTGCTCAGCGCATATTTGTATATATTTGACTGTTTTATTTTCATAAATGCCTGTGTTTTGCGCACCTTATTAGTATTATACTATCTATAGTGTATACATATATGTATATTAATTTTTTTATATATTTTTTTTCAATTTTGGTTGGGAGCATTGAAGATAAAAATCTAAATTAAAATAATTTTTGAACTACTCTTCAACTGACATTATCAAACCGCTTTTTTAATACCGCACAGTGTTGATTTTCCTCTACCAAATAGTTAAAAAAAGGATAGGTACGCAAGTATGTATGTATTTGTGATATAATTTATTGAGCCAATTTCCGCTACTTAAAATCGAATTTATAAAACTTAGAAATAATTTAATATTTTTCCTTAGCATAATTACTATTTACGTACATATGTATGTTTGTATATGTAAATTTGTGAGCGTTTTCTTCGGCGCGAATTCGAAAACATTTGATGTGGTTGATTTGTATGCCATGTGAAGCTTAAGGGTAAATCGTTTGTTTGTATAAAAAGTCATTATTTCTCGTTATATATGTATGTTTATGCGATGTGCTCGCATGCACGCCAATTCTCGCCTTAGAGGTCCTTGTGAAGAGCCACCAGTGGCGGGTTCTAACTTCCTTCAACAGCAACAAATACGTAGACCGGCAGATAGATGTAAGAGATGAGCTCAGCACCTGGAGACATCGGGCAGCGTACGTCCACGGCACTTATTAACCCAACCAGGCCAAGCCTGAAAGCCGTGCCTGTTGAAAATTTGCATGGCACAACGAGAATCATCGGAGATTTCATCATTCAAAAAATCTGTAGAAAAGATAGAAATAAATTAAGCAACTGGAACTGAATTACAATACATAATTGTGTTTGTATAGTCATTAAGAGAGTTTAATAATTGAAATTAAAAAGCTTGTGCATGTATATTGGTGAGATAAGGTAATCTTAATGACATGTTTATTTATGGCATATAGATAAATGTGAACAAAATATGCCTTTCATGCATTTTTCGAAGCTTAAAAACAGTGGTTTTATTTCCAATAATAATTAACGAATTTTAAGTTTAAAACTGGGGTACTTAGGGGATTACATGTTCTTACGAGTTTCAAAAACTCAATTGTTTTTATTGTCTTACTAAATTCTACAACACCTTTAGAATATTGTCCCAAATTTTCAAGTTTAGCCGAGTAATAGTTTCGGAGATACAGCCTTGAGAACTTGTGTCGGTTGGAAAGATTCCTAGAGAACTACTCAACCAATCTTTTTTGAAATTTTATACAGGTCTTTGAGATACAATTCTTAAAGGTCTGGACCAAGGGTTTTTCGATTACAACTATTTAGAACAACATATTAGATGATCTTGTAAAGGCTCCTCCTTTCCAAGAACTAAATTTTTTTTATTAGTAAATAAGTAACAATAAAAAAAATTAAATAAATTTTATTTGACAAAAAATAATTGATAAAAGGCTATTTTTACCCTAGGAAACCCATGTATCCCCTTAAAGAGATACTTATTTGTAGAAAATCGCCCGACAGCTGTCATTATTGACACGTTTCTATTTGCCAAAGCGACTGCAAAGACTATGTTTGATACGTGCCTTGGGCAGTAATTAATGCCACATTTCGCGAAGTTATTTTGTCAAATAGTTTCCATGAAGAAAATTGGTTTTGATGGGTTAGTTCGTCTGACAGCTATGTATTAGGTGCATTCCAAAGTAAAGTGTGCTATCGGAGCGAAAATGAGCTTCTAACATTAGAGCCAACATAAAATTTTGTCTTAAAATTATTAAAATTTTTACCGAAACGTTTCAATTGACGAAAAAAGTGCATTACGATGATTGCCTCTCCCGTGGCAGAGTGCACGGGTGGTTTCAACGTTTTCAAAGTGGTCGTGAGGACATAAATGACGATCAACATGTATGACATCATCATGACATCACCGGAAATTCCATCGAAACTGTGCGTGAATTCATGAAAAAATTGCTCAGAGTCTAATATTCGAAGGACCAAATATTTGACCAAAAATCACATTTTAACCATTAACCATCCTCCCTATTCACCTGATATGGCACCGAGCGAGTTCTTCTTTTTCGGAAAAATGCATTTGCCCATGAAAGGAAAACGTTTTGCAGACGTAGAGGCCATTGAAAAGGCTTGCACCGGCATACTGGCGCCATACCGGCCAACGAGTTAAAACACTTGTTCGACATGCTTTTAAACCGTGCAATAAGCGTTATTGAAGCAGAAGAAGATTATTTTGAATAAAATGAATTGATTCTGCTGAAAAACCATTTGTTCTGCTTTTTTTTAAAGTCCTGTGTACTTTGGAACGCACCTTGTATGTCCTATAGTAAGCAGCTATGTTATGCTTAGATGTTAATCAGAGAGCAAGAACGCTCATTGCATTCACAAACATAAATAGGTTAAACAGATTAGAGAGATGATAATTAAAGCTTGCGACAATTTCTTGCCGCAAATTATTTACGAGAAAAGTAGATAACGGTGAAAGTAAGTTAAGTGTGAAATAATACAACGTCAATTGCAGCACATTGTGAAGTATTCGGACTATTTCAGTTAGATTCATTGAGAGTGAGCCGGGATCGAGGAGTATTTAATAGTATTGATGAGTTTAGAGAGTTAAAAATCAGGAGGTTTACCGACTAATTTCTGTAAAATAACTTCCTTGGAAAAATTGCAGTTAGTCCTTTGACATTAATCCCAGACGGGGACTTCACTTTATATGTCTAAGATGGTATATATGTGAAGTAATGAGTTAGGGTCTGACTTTGTCTTGTAATATGTGAATAAAAGTCTAGTTAAAAGTGAATATTTCTCAATGCAACTATTCATAAATATATTTTTCATAATTTAAATTTGAAAAACCGATTTATAATTTACGCTCACTTTAGAATTCAATACTCTTACCACCTTTCTAAGTAGCTGATATACAGTATTGTGTAAGGAAAATGTTTTAAAGAGTGATCTGTTTGCAAAATTACCTTACAAACAAAGCTTCTGAGGTTTCTCTACACATAACACTCAAGTGGTAGATATTGACAAATTTTTATAATTCACAGCATACATACTTACCTTCACATTTTATATTGCATATTCCACCCTTTCGACCTTTGCGACACCAATTTTTATTGTTTATCTAAAAAATAGAGCAAAAAGTAAACGAAAAAATATGTTATTCTAACTGCTTCACTAGACGATCTTTGGTCAAACGAAAGGAAATCATTACGCAGATAAATTGAAGAGCCTCAGGTTAGTCAGAGTAATGCAACTAACCTGAAAAAGTCCATAGCTCACGCTGTGATTAGCTAATTGCATAACTTTTGAAGTACTTCGGCCACTTTCGTTCTCCACCAGGCACACCCCTAACAAAGAAGAAATCGAACATGAATATTTTTTCATTATTTCAATCGAAAATTAATGTCGTATAAATCATTTTATAACTTAATGTTATCGTAATAGAAATTTAAAACACAACACCAAACAAAAAAGTTGCTCCCCTAAACCCAAATACTCACAATTCGAGAGATAACTCCTTGGGAAATCGTGAGCCAACAATTCCTTGGCGAGTTGGCATCGCGTCAACATTTTTGCTTCACTGTGCGTCCACAGGCAGCAACTCAACACCACCGATAGACTCAAAATCGCTATTTTCGATTTGAAGCGCATTTTATATTTTCCGTACCGTGAAATGTGTATTAAATGTTGATAAGAGCGGCAGTTCCTGGAACCGTTTAAAAATAATTTCCACGTTTGTGTGTGTGTGCGCCAATAATTGTAATTTCAAATCAAAGCAATTATACGAAGTCGACACTATGAAATTATTGCACTGCTTGTGGTCAGACTAAAATAGCGACAGGTTAATTAATTCTTTGATTACTGGAAACGCACGCAAATTGTTGTTGCATATGCACTTATGTAAACACTTGTATGTAATATTTGCATTCCCTAATACACGGTGCTTTGCAAATATGCGCTTGAACTGCGTATAGCCTTGAGGATGTGTGTAAGGATTGCGATCACCTTGCTATGCATCTAGGCCGCGCTAAAGGATTGCGAATGTATGCGTTCACTTTCCACAGCTTCCACAGTTAAAGCTCCACGCTTCAGTGTTACCGCACTACTGTCGCACAGCCAGAGGAATTAAGGTTTTTAAAGCCTCGGGGGCCGGACCACTGCGCAGTGCAGCGTCACAGCGTCACCTCCGTCGCGGGATATGCCGCGCATGCTGTGGCAATTGTAAATTTTCCACTTTTCGCAATGCTCCGATGCTCCGCCGGTGTCGCCACATAATTTGCCACTTTTCGTGCATGCAGGCATTTCAACTAATCAATGCTCGTTTTGTGTTCCAGCACTGCTCTGAATCATTAGCATAAAGTCAACTTCTTCAGCGGCTGTCGAGCTACGTGCCTCGGTAGCGTACGATCGCACATAGTAATCACGACGACATCGAAGGCGGTAAAAATAAACATAATTGGATTTGAATGGAGGTGATGGCAGCGATAAAGTTATGAATTAAATAATAGGCACACGCGAGTGCATGGGCTTAGAAGAACTTAACTTTCAATTGTGTGTGTTCTCGAAGTCACTAGAGACACACTTTCGTTTTCGCCTTAACACTGGAACAACGAAGCGTGAAAATAGCAGCACGAACATACTTTAGCTTAAGTGGAACATTTCAGAAGAGAGCACTTGCCCTCGATAAACATTGAATCGTCTAATTCAATTGATGGCGGTCTCACTGAAGAAATAAATAAATAATACTCTTTAGGAACTCCAAGCAGACACGACTGACGTCCTGTTGAATATTCGTCTAATATTAGTTGGTCAGTTACAGCATCAGCCATGGAAAGAAAAGATAGTTTTTCTTCAACTTTAACTGTTTTCAGACTCAAATAAGCTTCCTTAGTATCAATAAGTGCCGATCCATAACTTAATCTCCGCGTGCAACAGCTTTTTTTCGGCATAAATGGAAACTATTATGCGTCAAGACAGGTGTAATGTCACTAATTGGCAAATTGGATTGCATCTAATGCAGTTATTTTGCCTGTTTGTTATGCATCTGACAATCATTCTGTTTTTATGTGTCAAATTGTTGACGTTTTCCGTCTTGACCTAAAAACCATAATGCACTGGAAAATCATGAGAATTTCTACGTCTTGCACGCACAAACATCTCCACTATTTATACAGGGTTTGTCCGGAAAGAAATAGGACTGGTTTTCTACCGCCACGACTGTAGTTCGGAGCGTGCGCGCACCGACTGGATTCGGTAGAGGGCGTTCCTAGCTAACGAACGAGCGCTGGACAGTTGTCTCCGAGCACCTGAAGAGTAAGGACAAACACTTTCGGGCGACGTGTCTCTGTGGTGCAAGCCGAAAATTCACCATTCATTAGAGCAGAGGTATGGGATTGAATGCTGTGTGAAACTCGGTAAATCTGCCACAGAGGTTTTGATATGATCAAGCAGGCTTACCCAGATGTTGCTTTAGCAAGAAGTGTTGTGTTTCGGTGGCACCAGACCTTTTTGGGGGCCGGAAAGAGGTCGCTGATGAAGATAAATTTGTTCCTACTCGACAAACCGTTAATGCCAAGCTTTATGTGGTAGTCCTCAAGAGACTCAAACGAAGGGACAATTGGGTCCGACAAAACATCGCAGACGATTGTAAGTTGCACTTCGTAACGCCCCGGCTCACACCGTCTTTCGTGTGAACAGCTCTCTAATCAAGGTCGGCATCCCAACGCTTCCGCAACCACTCTTCAGCGCAGATGTGGCCCCAAGGGACTTTCTTGTTTCCTTTCCTGAAAAGACCGATGGCAGCGCTGCATCGATGCAGAAGGAGCCTATTTTTAAAGATTTTAAAGAATTGTAATGATTGGTTCAACAAATTTTTTTAAATTGTCTCAGTCCTTTTACTTTGTGGACAAACGCTGTATTCGTTCTATGTATTGAAATGCCATGCCATTGATTCAATATTAAAAAAAAGAAATCGTTCAAAGGTGAAATGAAAGCAACACAGCTGAAGAGTCACTCATCTCTATTAATAAGTGTTTTGAAAAATTTTCGTTAGAAAGTAACACTATTGAAATGGAAACTTAATTGAGAAAGGAAAAATATAGTAAAATAGATATTTCGGCTACTTTGGCTAGCACTGCATATGCTATCATGATCGTTTCATGTTTTTATACTAAATTCAAACACTTTTGTTGTTTTCTTGCTGAAAATTCTATCAATAAAGAATAAATCCAAGCCAGAATTTGATGGATCCTTCTCTTGTGCACGGGCATTGAAGTAAAATGTGTTGGATACATAGCCTGACTATCCGGCTAATGTTTGTGTGGAAAGCACCGCATTCTCCGAAATTTAGGTATAAAAGTTCATAGGCTGCTTTCCTGCCTTATGGAATTTTCCTAGAACGTACTATACACATGCATGATATTCTAGTCACAAATTATATATGCGTGTATGTGTAGAAAGTCGAGCTAACAAGCTAATAGACGCCAGCTTATCTAGCTTATTACTGACATAATAAACACTTAGCAAGTCATTTTAGTTTAACATAATTTTCTTAGTTGAAGAATTGAGTTCAGAAATGTGTGACTGAATCAAAATGTGACTAAATTTGTTATGATTACGGTAATTGAGTTCACACGCCAGAAAAGTGGCACAAACATACAGACATACACACATTAGAATGAATTATTTGTCACTGCGGCGTCACATGTGCTCTAATGATGCCTTGCTATTGGTCACATATTTATGTAATAGGGAAGTATTTTAATGTTTATGCATCCACGCATTCTTTTCTTCATTCCAGCTCACATTCACAGCAATTGCTCACTTTAATCCTCATCGCTTCAATCAGTGCGGCGTTGGGCAATGATTTGCATAATTTGCGTGTCGATACAGCAACAACCACAATCACACCAGCCATGTACCCAACATCATCACTCACAACAATCACACTGTTAACGAAGAGTTCCCCATATATGACGCCCGCTAGAACAATAGCGAACCACAACAACACTGAAGAGATGTCCAATGCAATAATGTTGGCTGGTGGCGCTCCATCCTTGAAGCCTACACCGGCGTCTATGATACCGCATCCACCGCCAGCCATAAAAACGACGGGTAAGCTATTCAACAAGAGCTTGCCGAAGCGTCGAAAGGCGGGAGAAATATCCGCCATACCTGTTTACGACCCCAGCGTAGAGTGGAAGTGTCCGAACGTGACGAGCTCGCGTAGCCTGGAATGCGGCTGTGACCTGCCGCATACACTGCGCTGTACCGGCGATTTGCATGGTTTAACGGTACTATGAGCGCATATTTTATACATTTTTGTGGATTCAACATATTCATACATATGTACATTTTGAAATACTTCAGGTGCTTGCGAGCAATTTGAGAGTTTCCCCGTATACCATCTCGCTACTGGATTGTTCCTTGAGGAATGTGACCTTCTTGAGTGATGCGAAAATTTTCGAAGGCATATCGCTGTATGGTTTGGTAATTTCATCCGGCGAAATAAAGCGCGTGCATAAATCGGCCTTTTTGGGCATAAAAGGACCACTACAAGCCTTAGGTGAGTCCCCTTCGCTTACTTCTTTTACTTTCTGTTTAACTTCGATTATAAATAAAATTCCTCCACCTTATAGGACTACCAGCTAATGCGCTCTTAAGTGTTCCATGGAACTCGATAGCCACACTAACAGCACTCGAGCGTCTAGATTTGTCCAATAACAAAATAAAAGCTTTGGGCACTTCAGATTTTGCGGGACTGTCTAATCTCGTCTATCTTGAGCTGAGCAATAATCAAATATCCAGCATATCACAACGTACATTTATGAATTTAAGGAAATTGGAAGTATTGAAATTGGGTGGCAACCGTCTAGGAGATTATCCAACAAGCCTGAAGGCACTAACCACCTGCTATAATTTACGGTAAATTTGACTCCCCGATATTTTAAATTACGGTTGACTGTAATAACTTTCTTCAAACAGACAACTTGATCTCTCCGCCAATAATCTAAATGGTCCATTAACTGCCTCCACCTTGCCCGGCTTGCGGAGCCTCGAATCATTGGAGTTAAATCGTAATCTCATTAAGAGCATCCAGAACAAAGCTTTGCAAAATTTTTCTGGCCTCACTAGTCTCTCGTTGCGTCATAATCAAATTGACGTGCTACAAGATCACGCCTTTTACGGACTCGGTTCCTTGGAAAATTTGGATCTCAGTTTCAATGGCATTGTCGCTATTTCAAGCGCTTCACTGCAACATCTGACACGCCTCACAACACTCGATCTTACACACAACTTTCTGCGTGCTCTCACCTCTGATCTGATTACACCGTTGCCCTCCCTACAAGTCTTACGTTTAGCCGGAAATGACATTTCAATCGTTGCGAAAAATGCTTTGGATGGCGCACGCGAATTGAAGAGCCTCTCCATGCAAGATAATCCTTTGTCCTGCGACTGCACTATACGCTCGTTCGCCGAGTGGTTGCAGGTGACCAAAATACAGGCGGGCGATTTAATAAGCGCTACTTGCGTGACGCCGCCTCGCCTGGAGGGCGCACCTCTCATACAAGTGCCATTGGAAACTTTAAACTGCGAAATGGACAATGTGGAAAAAGATAATGCCAACATAATAGAGCAGTTAGAAGCGATAACGAGACAAAACCATACGACACACATTAAAGATCTATCAGAAGAGGTAAGTCACGAGAGAGCCGTCGCCAAAATACATGATATATCTTTGCTTTTGCAGATTGTACTACACGAACTGCATTTCTCAGCCGATTACGGACTGATACTAACCTGGATACTTAACCTGAGCAAGAACGACTTTATGTGTGATGCCATCTTTGTCTATAAAGAAGAGAACATCAACGAAATACTGATCGATAACTCACCGGTAGGTTACCTGTAAAACTATACATCTCTATAAAAGTTAATAAGCAAATAGCTCTCTCAAGACTTATTAACGCATCGAAAGCGGTACTTATTTCCCAAGATTAAACAACTTTTTCTAAATTCAATAAGTCATTTCTATTATATTTCGTTAAAAAATACTTGTACTGATCAGAAACACAACATTCTTTTCGCAGAT